TGGATCAGAATCCAAAGACATTCTGGACATCTCAAACTACACACCCCAAAAAGCCAAACAGCGTCCCTGCCTTGACACACTCTCTGAATCCTCCTCAGACTCTTCTCACACTGGTGGAGGAGGGATGAATGTTGTGGGGGGACCATTTCGCCCAAGGGATGTTCCTATGCCTGAGGGTCAGTCTAGCCTTTCAAGCCTGGAGAAGCTAATGCTTGACTGGAATGAGAATTCGGCAGGCCCTTCTTACAACTGGAGTCAGAATGTACTATTCCAAGGGGGGGCCAAACCAGGTCGTGGGCGAAGGAAAAAGTCTGAGACACACAATGAGAAGGAAGCATGCTCTGTTCCCCCAGGTTCACCTGCCAGCCCTCCTATGCAAGGAGGACCAAAACGGAGTGCTACAGGTGGTAGACAGCCCAGGGGAGCAAGAGGCAGGGGAGGATACTCTCCTTGCCAAAGAGATCGTCCCCCACCAAAAACCAAATCTCAAAAGCTTTCAACCCCATCAGGGTCAGGGCACATGAGTTCGGGGGGTCTATACCAAGAAGCATTGGACTACTACAGTGGAGATAGTAGTAGCCTATCACCTCTCAGCCATGCCCCAGAGTCCTGTGAATACCCCTCTCCATATTCTGTCCACACTTCTACTCCCTCCTCAGATGAGAGATTTGCTCATGTCTTTCCTCCGGACTCTGCCTCTGTGTCCCCCAGTTTATCAAATCAGTCAGATGCCCTAAAGCAGTACCCTAAACCTGGTCCTCCCTCACAGACTTATGGGCATGCTGCCAGGACTTTTAGCCCAACCCTCTCCCCAACCCCTCGGCTCTTGCCGCAGTGTGGTTCTGCCATGAGTCCACATCGGGTCCCAAAAGAGCAGTTCTCCCAGTATGATTCCCCAAGTTACAGTGGCTCTCCCTGCTGGTATGGGCAAGGAGGAAGTGTCGCTGGCAGCCCCCAAAATTATGAGGAACAGCGACCACCAGCAGTCTCTTTGCCCTCCCACAAACGGGACATGTCATTGATGGTCTCTGGGATGAGAGTTACATCCCATTCATCTTACCCTTCCCCTTTACAAAGAGGTCCTTCCATGTCAACTTGTGTGAGTGGGACTCTGGACTCTTCCCCTCAGCATGATGAGATGGCTTACCATGGTAACTTGGACAACTATGCACCTGTTGGACACCGTTATGCACCCCAAACAGCCCGGGGAGGGGTTCTCTGCCAGCTTCTTGACCAGCCGAGCGATGAAGGCTTCACCGTCACCAGCCTGTAGTTGGATTTATCATGCCATCGCTGAAGAGGTACAACATTAATACTGGTAAATAGTTAAGATGATAGCAGTATGAATTTGTTCAAGTAAATGCTTTAATGCTACCACAATCTATATTGTGATACAAGTTTATGTCATTATGTATTGAGACAAATCCTCATTTGATTTTTTCTTTTTGTCTTGACAGATGAAATGGACAGTACCCTTTTCATATTTTTAATCTTTTTTAAAGGATAAGCTTTGGGAGACACTTACTGAGTTAGACTGAAGAGTTTCAGAGCTATGGACTAAATAAAGACTTCTCCAGCAGTGACAATCAAGATCCAAATTCACACACATGGACAGACACAGAAACACATGCACGGACACAAACATTCACACACTTGCATATACTTTTCATACGCCGACTTGCAACTGCAAATGCACGCACAAAAAGTTTTGCAAACTAATATTGCTACACAGCTTGGGCTAGGGACTCATTAAACAAAGAATGGAAACTACTTGTATCACGTTGAAACCAATTTGATGAAATGCAGGGAACAACCTTGTCCCTTTCTTTTACAGTGCAACCGTGCAAATGTGATTCACACATTCTCACATTTCAGTGATGCCCAAAAACTCAACCAATGTGCGAGACCACACAAAAGGTTTTTGTCTACATCCTGAACTTGCTCCCTTTTTGTCTGTTTCAGTCTCAAAGCCTCCTTTGATTTTGTCTCTGGGGAGATTACTTAATCCTAAAGGTCCACTTCCTTCAGCATCTATGAATGGTGACTGCACAAACTCTGCCCTCTTCTCATTCTTTAGTTCAACATTTTTCAAACAAAACAAAAACAGCATTTGTACATAAGCTACTCAAAGGGTTCGATCACTTGAGGAGCTCACTGCTATGAAAACCACCAAATCTCCTGCTGAAAGAGATATGGTAATGCAGCAATGTCATGACAGTGTTTTGGAACTGCTGTATAAGAACACATGAGGGAAATACCAGTTTTATGTGGCTTTAAATTGTTCAGCTTGGGTTTGTGCAAGTACAGTTTAAGTAATCTTTTTTATCAGTGGCCTGGTCTGGTTCCACAGGAATGTGTCCAAATTTGATCCCTTCAACCTCTGGATCTGCAGCATGGTCACTTTGTGCCCAACATCCAACTCTCATTTGTGTGTTTTTATCATAACAGGAGGACAGACACCCATGCACTGCCCCTGACAGATGCTGTCCTTGTCAAGATGTTTTGAGGCCAGGGTACTTTCTACCCTGGATATGATGGCCTGAAGCTCAGGGTGTGGACAATGCATATTCTCCTCCTCTTTTTCTTTCATCCCTTTGTTCGTATTTCTTGTGGTCCGCTGTGTCGTACAGTGATTTTTTGTGATGAAATATTGTATCTGTCTGTTCCATATACTGTATCTGAGGTGAAAATATTTAAATACACATTCTGTTCTGATCATTGTTTAATTTTGTCCTGCCTCTCCTCTGTGGTTGGGGAAATACAATGAAAACGAAATGAGGTCCATTGGTGGCCAAGCAGGAAAATAAAAATACAATGGATATTAACCTGCAGTTATTATCACCTTTACTAAGGCTTGTCAGATCTCATTCAGATGACTGTCCAAATACTTTTTTATGATAAAAAGTACATTTTAATTAATGCCTTAAATGGTTTACCATCAATATAATGTATGTATATATGTGCAGCATGAGAATGATCAAACTGGATGGTTCATTATAATGTTGTAATTCCAAACATTTCTTTCTGAAATGGTATCGAAACAGTTCTTTTTGTGTGAGTGGTTTTGGTGCCTCTTTTGCATTCTGGCCGTGCAGCATTACTCAGGCATTTGGAACGAGGCAATTGTGCTTTTGTCGACAGACATTCCAACAGGAGCTCAGATGAGTTCAGGTGAGGACATGAACAGATTTTAGAGAAATGAAGCAAATATTTTATGAAATGTATGGAAAGTAAGTAATCTGAGAGAAGGAGAGCATGAGAATAGTGTGCATTTTTCATTGATTAGTTTGTATATGTGTAGTATTGGAGGGGTGGGGGTGGGGGGGATTTAATTTCTCATCCTTGCACTGCCCCACTGTGTTGAGAATGTGAAAATATTGGCCAATTATGTCAGTTATCTCCAACACACCAACCCAACGCCTCTAAAGACAAATGTTTGGCTTATCGTCTAATATAATATTTTAGGAATTCATGGATTCTGAAAGAGCATCTAGCACATATAAAAGAAAAAGACTTAATCTGTTCACTACCCCATTCTCTGTGTTCTCTGTTTGAGTTGTTTGATAGTTTTGTTGCCACTCTCTGGCTGCAGTTGTGCACTCCTGTTTCTTGGTTATCTTGGTTTCAATATATATGCATATGCAACACAAATGCTCTTTGCAGCACCTGGAAAATACAATATAACATGCAGCAGTTTGACAAATTATTACATATTATTTCATTGTCCATTTGTATAAATACAAAAAAAAATGTTGTCATTCTAACATGCAATCAAGCCAACGTCGTCATTAAACATAGCCATTATCAGATATGCATTTACCTTTTAAATTAAATTAGTATCCACCTTCTGTGCAACCCAGTGCTTTACCCTATCTTTTTATTTTATTTTTTTTACTTATTTTGCAATTATTCTTCACATATTTTGGACCTAATGATAATGTTTTTACAATTGTTCAGAGGTCACAAACAGATTTTATAAAAATACAACAATAATGTCATTAAAAAAAACAACTGATACTTTAAGTTACAAGTTTGCAATTTGATTTAAGGTTCAGTAGGACTTTGCAATCACCACTGAGATTGTCATGCGTGAACAATGTTAATAGGCCCTTAAAAATAAACTCCTGATGCTCAACCAGACGTCCCCTGATTTAGCTGTCAGCAAGTAGCCCACTTGTAATTGTTCATTAAGAAACATTAATTGTTTATTAAGGAACTAGCAAAAGCAGTAAGGGAAAGTTTTTAATGGGAAAGAGAAAATACTCCTGACTAACAAGTCAATTTTAATGATTTGTTTGTGTTTTCTGGTGTATACAACATCTCTTCCACAAATGGACCTTTTGTTTGCAAAGTGGATGTCGCAAAGCACCAGTAGGCCTATTTTCCAGAAATAACAGACTTGATCTGCTTTCGGCTTCCATTCCAGATAGTGTTCGCCTAATTGTTAGATTGAAAGGTAGTGTTTATAAAGATGAGCCGCATACAAATTTCTACTAAATTCTAATTTCTACCACTCTATAATAGTGGGAAGTGTGTGTGTGTCCACTGGCTTGCACATTACAGATTCCCAGCAGATGCAGTAGCCTACGTCATGATGGTATTACTCACCTGCATCATGAATTGTGGCTATTTGGACATCCTACTCATTTGACGCTCTGTTTTACTACAAAGTAGTGAAATGTGTTCGCGCGCGGGGGTGGTGTGTGTGTGTGTGCGCACGCGTCACTGTCTGTTTGAATGGTTGCGCACGCGTTCCACTGGCTTCTATTATCTGTCCTGTTCCAATTTCAGTCCCTCAACCTCACACAAACAGACCTGATTGTTTTTTTATTTGTTTCCATTAAGACATTATAATATGTAGTATATCTATTAACGTGTTTTTTTCTTTGGAAACGTTGGCTGGTGTAGGAAAAATCTTGTCTCAGACGCACTAGTATTTGTTGACAGTGTCCAGCAGTGATTTCTTTCTATCCCAGTGACAGTGCCCTCGAGCTAGAGTCACGGTGGCGCCGACTCTTCATTTCTGGTGTCTGCGCTCCCACGGGTCACTCCAAGCTCAAAATAGGGAAGGCATGGCCGTTTGTAACTTTAGCGGATTAAGAGGTATTTCCCACCGTGTGTTGATTATAGGTCTGTCGGTGCTTCTGCTCGTACAACTACTGGTTAATTTAACGGTGCCGCGCGCATTTAGCAACACGAGCGGTGACGAACCGGCTTTTCTCGTCATTAGCATAGAAAAGAGTGACGGGTCACTGTCGTCTGAGGTTAGAAAAAATGACAGGGATTTGGAAAGCGGTGTATTGGGTCTCTGGACTGACGAGGATTCAGGACTCACAGGATATGAAGACGAAAACGAGCTTGAAAAACCTCAGGTAATTTCATATTCACTATGCAGGTTACTTATTTTCTTCCAGTTTTAGGGGGATGGTCTTCCTCATTTGCAACTCAAAAGAAAATAAATTGCCCTGGTAAATAGGCTGAATTTAAAAATAAATAAATTATGCAGTATTTTATTTTTATTTTTTATCTGGAGGGATTGGAAAACACATGTGTGACTTGGCAAAATATACGGGGATCCCTCCTAGACTCTTTAAGATGGAAAAATGTTCTGCAAAGTCTCTCACTCACTCTCTCTTTCTCTGTTTGTCTCGCTGTCCGCCCCCACAACAGTGAGTTCCTCAGTGAGTCATATCTCCTCTTCCTCTAGTCTAGTGTCTCCATGGTTACGAAACAGGGTTGTTCTATGTTTTGGGAGAGGCTCAATTTCCAACAGCCCATCAGGTTTAAAAAGTTCTCTCTGTTTCTTTTGTTCAACCTCTGGTTTCAAAAGGGCACATTCTGTGACCCTAAACAAGCTGCAACTTCTCCTGCCTGAAGCGCTGCACATGCTCACACAGTGTGGCTATCGAATGCCTGACCCTCCTCCATTGCATCCCTGTTTTTTTTGTATGTGCATTTTAAATTTGGCCAAGAAGAGAGAGAACTTTGTGTTTGTGTGTTTGCAGGCTGCAGCTAGAGAGCTGAAACTGCAGCCATGGGCATCAGAACAACCTTCGTTTTTCACAGAGCTGCTGCGTTTTACCCGGTTCATCACCACAACAGAGGTACACAAACTTACTGTAATGCTTCCTGGCTCGGTCATTCTTGTCTTGCATAACAATTTGCAGTTGTATATTATAAAAATGGACTTCAAAAAGCAAGATATCTAGACTTTTCCTGTCACATTCTGTAGGTGAACTGCTCTGTGGTCCTGGATTCAGATGGGAATCAATCTAAACGCTTTCCTGGTCAATCTGATGTTTTGTGCATCAACCACTGGAAGGGCAAAAGGGGTTGTGTGGCTTACTCATTCAGGTAAATGTATATATTAAGTTACAGCAGATTAACTCTTTCCCTGCCATTGACGGCATTTTCATCTTTCCGTGTTTTCACGGTTATATGGCGCTAGTACGCATCTTCTGAAAGAGGACAGAATCTCCTGATCAAAAGACATGTGAAGAAGAAGCAGAAACAAGCGATAGCATAACCAGATACATACAGGTGAAACTCGAAAAATTAGAATATCGTGCAAAAGTTATAATTTTGATGATTATGGCTTACTGCTTATGAAAAACCCCAAATTCAAAATCTCATAAAATTAGAATATTACATGAAATCAATAAAAAAAGGATTTTAAATACAGAAATGTCAGCCCTCTGAAAAGTATAATCATGCATATGTATATAGACTAAATATATTAGTTTCACCTTTTAATTTGAATTACTGAAATACATGAACTGTTGCATGATATTCTAATTTTTAGAGTTTCACGTGTAAAATAACGCGATCTTCAACATTAAACAGCATATAAATCAAAACTGTCTAATGTTACTGAATGAAATGTCGACCCAGGACGAGCTACTGTGAAGCTTTGGGGTGTTGATGGACTCGATTTACTCCATCTGTGTTTTCATCATCTTTCTAAATCCCATGGATTTTAACAAAAGCGTGATTTTCTCAGCTTTTTTTAAAATTAAACTTACCCATATTCAAGTGTTGATAAAAAAAAAAGCATTGAGGTAGAATAAAACAGTTTTTTATTTTGTTTAAAAGCAGAAGCTCTGTTCTTTCTTTTAATATATTACATATATTCAGATATTTATACAACCAAATGTTCTGGGGGCGATGAAACTTTTGTGTAAATGATCAAAAATACTGGCGGTGGCTGACAACTTTGGCAGGGAAAGAGTTAAAGACATCACAAATGCGTATTTAATTGAAGCTTCTTTAAATAGGGCAAGTTAAAGTCATCTCTTTTTAAAATAAAAGTAGAGAGAGATCTTTTCTTTCATATTGTGACGTACATCCGAGTGAAATGGTTAATCTAATAAAAAGAAACAAATGAAAAATACATGGATAATTCAGTTTAAATAAACAATACCTGAATACCAGAGTCATTTTGTAATCAATCTAAGAGTATGTCATGATCTATATAGTGTCGAACACAGCACTAACATCAAGTAAAACTAGTAGATGCAGCCTTGTTCAGAAGATAAAAGATAGTCATTTATAATTTTAATGAGTGTAGTTTGCTGTTCTATGATGGGCCTGAATCCTGACGAAATCCTTCATAGATAATGTAGCACTTGATTGAACAGTGTCTTCTGTTTGGACATTTAAGGCACATTTAAGACCAGACATGGGATGCACGAAATATCGGCCACCATATCGGTATCGGCCGATTTATGTTCATTTTTTATGTAATCGTTATCGGCCCGATAAGAAAATTTGGCCGATATATTAAAGCTGATAAAAAATGGATTATTTCCCTCAGCTGAGACGCTTCAGATGAGCACTGTTCACCATGATGGTTTTAAATTGCTTGAAATATGATTGAAATCCCTTAAAAAAGGAAAATACAGTTCAGTTCAACATGTGCAGCGCAAGTCTGTCATATATGCTAAAATTATAATGAGAACATTATATATAAGTGTGTGCTTGGGACATGGCTTTTAATGGTGAGACTTTTGTTTTTGTAATCAGGCTCTCAAAAATTATATAAAAATTTGGATTTAGATTTATTGGCAATATATCGGTCATCGGCTTTCAAATATAAAGAATTATCGGTATCGACCATAATTTTCATATCGGTGCATCTCTGCACCAGACATGTTCATTTCAAATAATGTAGGGCTCCTTGTTTCTTTGTTAGGTCTGAAGGGTGGGTTTTTTTTGTATATAATCTATGAAAAAACAAAAAGCACAAAGCTGTCCCAGATTCTGTAGCTCTTTTCCTCGACGTGTCATGACGGATGCAGGGAAACAGTAATTGGTTGGACTTCTTCATTTGAATGTTTCAGGCTGTTCCAAATAATCTTTTGTCTGTATCTTTATAGTCTGGATGGGAAGGATGCTGCATTTTTAGACGCAATGTTGTACGCGGGGTGTGAGGTTCATCGCTTCGACCCCAGCGGTCGAGTGTGTCGACCCGCATATATTAAGAATCATCAGGTTTGGTTAGACTGGAGGAACCCGCGCAGTCTCTCACATGCAAGCCTCGTGGGTAACGTACAGCGCCGGCTGCCTGACATCATGGACTCACTGGGACACACCACGGTATTACACCCAAATACACTCATTCTGATTCTCACACTCCCCGTCCAGTAGTGAGTGAATCACACTAAAGTTCTGCCTTTATGTCCTTAAGTCTATGTTCACACAAGCAACAGTGACTCATAAGATGAGTTGCACAAAGGCAGAGGTGGACAAAGTACACAACGTCCTTACTCGAGTGAAACTACTGGTCAAATATTACTCTGTTACAAGTAAAAGTTGTAAAGACCGATTTTTACTTAAGTAAAAGTACAGAAGTACTTGTTTTTGAATATCAAAAGTAAATGTCAATTCATTGTTTTATTATTGTTGCATTGTTACCTTATGCCTAGTGAATACACACACCAGTTTGAACTATCTGGGGAATTAAGAGCTACCGGTATGTTACAAAACCTCTAGGAATTAAACAACTGAATTGACAAGAAAAGACAGCCATAATCATCTTCATTTTTTAATTTAACACTCCTACCACCCCCACAAAAGAAGTCCACATCTATGGGTATCCACTATGTGTATGCACATTTGAAACAAGTGGTCTGTAAATACAGATTAATATGGCAAGCTGTTTTAGCTTAAATTGTTCCCAGCGATACTCGTCGTAATTGCATTATTACTAGTAACAATTACAATTACAGAGCTATCTAATTAAATTATTGCTAGTTAGAATTACAATTACAGAGCTCTCTAATTCAATTCTTACTAGTAACAATTACAATTAGAGAGCTCTCTAATTCAGTTGTTAGTAAGTATGCAATTGCAGAGCTCTTTAATTTAATTACAGAGCTCTGCAATTATACATATCTTTAATTCGTTTTTTTTACTAGTAAGAATTCAAGTGTAGAGCTCCGTAATTAAAAATGAATGGAAGTCAATGTAGACATATGACTAGTAAAAATTAATGTGTAGAGCTCTCTAATTGTAATTGCTACTAAGAATTGAATTGTAGAGCTCACTAATTGAAATCTTACTAGTAAAAATGCAATTACGACGAGTATCGCTGGGTACAATTTAAGCTAAAGCGGCTTGCCATAGACTGATGTATAGCTGAATAACTGCCCAACAGCAATACTGCTTTAACAAAGAGCAAAACAGAATTACATATTCGCCATGAAAACAAAACTTTCAAACCGTTAGTTGTGACAACGATACTGTCTCTCACAGATCACTAGTCGAGAGGAATCGCACTAATTGCTGACACGTGACGATAAGATGTCACGTGAGGTTGAAGCAGACGAGGTACACTGTAAAATGTTTCTGTTAATTTACACCCAAATTTCAACATGATTAACCTGTTATTTTTAATAACTGCGCCTTACTGTTAATTTTAGGGAATATATGTTAAATAACACCTCATTTTTGTTATTTAACACCTCATTGTTAAATAACACCTCATTTTTGTTATTTAACCGCAAAATCGAAAATTCAAGCAAAGATGTCGGATAACGGTCTGGTATGTTTGTTGATAAATGCCGCTATGCAATTTTATGCTTATTATAAAAAAAGTTATTATATCAGTGGAGAAGTTATGCAATTTCATTTCGGTTTTTTAGGTTGCTATTAAACGACTGATTCAATCAAGGTTCAAGGTTGGGTGGGGGTGGGTGTGTCTCCCCTGTTCTTTCTGAACACGGTGTAAATATCCGTATGACACGCAGCACGCTGGCAGGCGCCACCCTATTATGTCTATTGGCGCCACTATTTGAAATAACATGTTCATACAGTATTTTTTTTAATTCTGGGAAGGAGCGTATAAGGCATTTGAACCGGCCGGCAACGAACACGGAGATCCATGTCGGAGGATCGCGGTGGTTACATCGACCAAAATCACAATAATCCGGTGAGAGAGTTTCTTGAAAGTCATGCATAGTTTTAACATCTATCAGTGATGTTGATGTATACTAAACGCCACGGACTTACACCACATGAAATGAAGTAACGTAACTTAGCTAGCTAGCTGCTAATGAGCCTAGGTGATTTTGATAGTTTGTCCATTAATTTTTAGAAACAATGCGCTTATTTTAATGTCCATTTATGTGTACGATCTAAATCTATAAACAATAGGCTAACATTAGGCCTATAACTTTAAGTAGCATTCCCGTGGTCAAGTTTGTGTGGCATTCTTGGCATGTGCATGTCTGGTTAAAGCAGATTTATCCTGAAAATCAAACGGCTAAATCTAATTTACTGATAGCTGTTTATGATGCTAGATAACGTTAACTTAGTTGGTCTAGTTGGTCCAAGTATTTAATGAATTCATGTCAGCTGCTCGTCTTTGATCGATTATAGCTGTTTGGGCTACCAGACATGCTGGTGTGACTATTTTATGTGCAGGTTTTAGCCTTACAATGAGGTAAATCCAGCAAAAACAGCTATTACTGATAGGGCTAGTGCAGTATCTAGCTATGTGAACAGCTATTCTCTTTTAATTGCCTTGGTATAGTGCACCCTATTTTGTGTTTTTTTTTTGTTGCTGTTTTGATTATCATTGAGTTGTAGATCAATGTTTACATTTGTTTTCTTGTTTTTTTTTTTATTACAGATGCAGGATACCATCCCTGATCACTGCTGTTCAAGATGATATCCCAGGATTTATATCTCTATCTCTCTATCTATATCCCCTCTCTCTTTATCTATCTCTTCCTGTCTCTCCATCTCTCATTCTATCTATATATTTATCTATCTCAGTCAGTGGTAGTCTTATGTCGTTAATATTGTGTTTAATTTGTTCTATGTTCTAGGGATATGCCACTGAAGCTGACCTTGAGAGTTCACTATACCTGCAACTCCTCGTCTGATACTTCTTGGTAAGTTGGTTTTAGATAGGACAGTTGGGTTTAGTGTTGTAGTGAATTCAATGGTATCAAACTAAACTATTCAAAATGAAAACTAAAACAGAAATTTGACAGTTAAAACATTTCTGTTTCAGGAGAAACATGAAGCCGCTTCCAGCGCTGGATGCTCAGCCTTGATGGCCAAATCATTTGCAAAGGGATCCAGTCCACCTTCATCTTTAACCTACAGTACCAAGAGGAGGCAGCCTGCACGATTGAATTCATCCAGAGGTAAGATATTGTCTGTTAACACCTGCATATTTTTCTGGCCTAGCTGTGGCTCAAGCATGGTTTCAACAGGTCTGGTGATGGGATTTAGCAATTAACTTTGATTTAGAAAGTTTTAGTGCAACTTACAATATTCACAGAGGCAAGAAGATAGTGCATGTTGAGGATAGTTCATGTACATTTGTTGTCTTTGTTGTGCTGTTAGTCTGTGTGAATTACTAGATTTTTAACCAGTGTATAATTTTTCAGACGCTTTGTGGGTTTAAACCCAGAAAAAGGGACAAAGGCTGCAAAGGGGGAAAAAAAAGAAGAACTTTGTCAATTCACACGTCGCCAGCCACGTCTTGCTCAAGCTCATGGACTTTCAGTGGGATTTCATTTGAAAATGGTCAGTAAGACCAGTGGCGTAGGCAGAAATTGTATTTTGGGTGGGCCAGTGAAAATGTGAGTGGGCCTATAGTTTTTCATAGAAAAAAAATGACTTCAGTAATAATTAACCTTAGAGAGTAGAAAAATTAATAGACAAACTGCAAAAACAGTTACACCTTTATATTCGGCAAATCATCATGTTCAACCAACAGAGCTTAATAAAGGCTGGACAAACCAGTGTAGACAATAACCTGTCTATTTTATTCAGGCTAGTCAGCAGTCCAAAGACAGTTTACCCGAAAATAAAGTAAGCTAAAATAATAATATCGCAGTTAGATCGGCGGCTAAACCCGCGTCAGGCTGACGGAGAGAGGGAGCAAAAAGCAGCCGCCACCAGCACCTGACTAGCCTTCTGGGTTAATGAGTTTGAAGAACTGGGCTGTGTGGACTCGGTAGATGAAGGCAGTGGCGTGTCTTCTTCCTCAACTCTTGCTTTTTTCAAATAGCACATTAAAGAAAGTTGTTTAGCCATTATTGTGGCGCCGACGACGCTTGTGAGTTTTCCTGTCGGAACCCCCAGCAACCATAGCAACCAATAACGTTCCGGAGAGAGGCTTTCTACAACTTGCTTCGACAGTTTCATTTTATTCGGAAAACGAATTAAACACACACAGCAGTCAACAATAAATCAGGTATATATTAATATATTTTCTTAAATACATTTGAATAAAAATAAACTAAAAATGTATTTTTATCAAACTTGCCTGGGCGGGCCAGTGAGTAATGTGGGCGGGCCAGTGCCGCCCTGGCCCAATACTGGCTACGCCCCTGAGTAAGACATTACACATATGTTCAAACAGCAACAACTCAGGAGCTGGGGAAATTCATTCTAATGTTCATTCTCAACTGCCTTTCAAAGTTAGAATTCTGAATTCCTCTTCCATGCTCTTGCCATTCTTTTTTTGTTCTTTCAATGAATTGTACTCATCACCCTTTCTATTATTTTTTTATTCTGTCTGTTTTGTGCTCTGTTTCTAAAATTAGCTTTTGTTAGGTCAAGCCATGTGATATAATTTTGGATTAAACATTTGAAATTATGGAACTCATCTCTCTCTCTCTCTCTCTCTCTCTCTCTCTCTCTCTCTCTCTCTCTCTCTCTCTCTCTCTCTCTCTCTCTCTCTCTCTCTCTCTCTCTCTCTCTCTCTCTCTCTCTCTCTCTCTCTCTCTCTCAGACCCAAGACTTTGCAAAGGATCCTCATTGTGTGCTTTGAGAAAATGGTTAGTGGTCTAAGCAGTGACAGAGTTTTTATTGTTTATTGCTCTTTATTGATGAAGAGTTCCATTAAGTGTTGGTTTGAATGTATTCATACATGTTGAATTTTAGTGGTTTATGTAACACTAAGTGTTGAGGTTCAGTATTTTGTTATAATGAACAATGTATTTGAGTTTAAAAATGTATTTGCTACTTTTTAAGCCATGGACATGAGAAAATGAGATTTGTTTGTGATTAATCTGAGCCTATGTGTAAAATTTTTATGTGACCAGGAGTCAATGTGTATATCCTTGGTTTGAGTTTTTTAGCTGAATTTTAGCAGTTCAGGGAACATTAAATGTTGAGGTTTAGGGCCTTATCTTGCACCGACGCAGCGCAAAGCCAAACGCAAGTGTCTTTGCTAGTTTAAGACAGACTCAGTTGTTATTTTCCGTCCAGTGACCACAGATGTCAGCAATGAACATGATATACAGTATATTTCTGTAATTGGTCTGATCCATGTGTGCCTACATTTGTAAGTATTTACCTTTCAGTGTTTGTATTACAATAAAAAAAGTTAATTTCAACACAGAACTATTCGTTTTCTTTCACTTAACTGTTATCTGATGGATTATGCCTATTCTTGTATTAACTCAAGCTAGAATATGTCTATAACAATCAGTGGTACACGTTACAATATGCTAAAAAAAATTAACAATATTTAATGGAAATAAAATAAATGGTGATTTAACAGGAAAATAATGGTAACACTGCTGCCAGTTGTTTCCTGTTTTTTCTGCGATTTACAGTAAATTCCTGTTGAAAAACATTACGGGGAGTGCACTGTAAAAAAACATTAACAGGAATAAACTGTTAAAATAACAGGAAAATAATGGTAACCCTGCTGCCAGTAATTTCCTGTTATTTAACAGGGAAATAATTAACAGTGTAGGATCCATTTGCAGATTGACTTTATTTACACAACTCAAACTATACAAAGACAGAATCAGGACTAGAATAACCAGCAAACAACATTAAGGACCCACAAAGACTGAACTAGACATACAGGCTTAAATACAAATGAGCTAACAAGATAACAAGAGGGTGTGGCTAATAGGAAAGACCTGTGACAGACAAATAAACATAACGGGAGCTGCTAAACATGAAACCAGACAGAAACACAAACTAGAGACATGCATGAAACACGACAGAAACACAGACCAGGCTTGTGACATAAGAGTGATTACTGATAGGCTGTCTGTCACCCGCAAAAATACAATCATGTTTTACAGACGAAAAAAATCATGCCCTGACTAACATAACTACTTTCCCCTCAAGGACCTTGACAGAAATGCAGTGGAGCAAAAAGTATGATATTTGTCATTCGAATGTAATGAAGTTAAAGTATAAGTGTCCAGAAAAAATAATACTCAAGTAAATGTACTTCGTTACTGTCCACCTCTGCACTTGTGTTCATCTTTGGTCATTTTAAAAGAACAGATTTCATACAAATACAATATTTCTGAAGTGTCATCTGCTTGGTCTCAAAAGGTCACATTCATTTAGTGTCTGTTTGCGTAGGTGGATGTTCTGCGTATGGATTTGGAGAGCGCTGAATGGCGTATATTAGAAAGCTGGATTAAGGATGGGACTCTCAGACGGATCAACCAGCTCATTCTGACCCTTCATCTGCAGTGGGCCGGGTTTGAGGTGGGGGGAGCTGAGGAAGACGTGGTGCGTTTCTGGTACAGTGTGCTGAGAGCCGTCCGCATCTCGGGACTCCGACTCGTGCGTTTCACATGCGGACCGAGACACACAGTGCTGAGACACAAACTGGACAACTCACACAGCTCATACACACTCAGCTGGATAAGGACAAGCAAGCAGCCCAGACGACCAACTGCAAAATCTCTATAGACACAGAAGCAAAACTCTGAATGAATGAATGAATGAATGAATGGATGAATGAATGTAATGAATGAATGAATGAATGTAATGAATGGATGAATGAATAAGATGATGACAAACAGTAACGGTCAAAAGTTTGGAAACATTACTATTTTTAATGTTTTTGAAAGAAGTCTCTTCTGCTCATCAAGCCTGTATTTATTTGATCAAAAATACAGAAAAACCAGTAATATTGTGAAATATTATTACAATTTAAAATAATGGTTTTCTAGTTTAATATAATTTAATATAGTTTAATAAATATATAATATAATATAGTTTAATATACCTACTTTAAAATATCAACATCACTACTCCAGTCTTCAGTGTCACATGATCCTTCGGAAATCATTATAATATGATGATTTGATACTCAGTTATTATCAATGTTGAAACCTTTTTTTTTTTCAGGATTTATTGATGAATAAAACTTTTTTAAAAAGAACAGCATTTATTCAAAATTCAAATCTTTTCTAACTATATAAATTTTGACTATCACTTTTTTTTAATCAATTTTACACATCCTTGCTGAATAAAAGTATTTATTTCTTTCAATAACAGAAAGAAAATTACTAATCCCAAATTTTTCAATGGTAGGCCTAGTGTAGGCCTACATTGCTACAAAAAATATATTTTTTTAATAAATGCTGTTTAAAAAAAATGTATTAATCAAAGAATCCTGAAAAAAGTATCACAGGTTGAAAAAATATTTAGCAGCACAACTGTTTCCAACATTGATAATAAATCAGCATATTAGAATGATTTCTGAAGGATCATTTATGTGACTCTAAACTAAAGACTGGAGTAATGATGCCGAAAATTCAGCTTTGATAACAGGAATAAATTACATTTTAAAGTATATTCAAATATAAAACCATTATTTTAAATTGTAATAATATATCACATTATTACTGTTTTTTCTGAATTTTTGATCAAATAAATGCAGGCTTGATGATCAAACGAGACTTAAAATAGTAATGTTTCCAAACTTTTGCCCGACACTGTATGTGTCCAAGAGTACTTTAAACCAAAGCAGGGATGTTTAATGAAGTTGAGATGTAAAATACATCACATTTTAAAGAGGTAAAGCTGATATTAGTGTTATTTGTTTCTGTCTGCACGCCGTCTAGTGGTTGTGAACGATACTGCAATGATTCAGCTCTGCATTAAATCTATCACTCTGTCATAATCCTTAAACAGCCAAATTAAATTAACTTTAAAGTCATTTTCATACAAAAGGGTTACGTGCAATATTTTTAAAATGCGTTGTTTAATATGAAATAAACTATACGCAATAAAAAAGGTCATCAGAGTCTTATTTTTTTTCCGTGAGCATAAAATCCTGTGATAAATAAAAAAAAACTTGTATTACATGTTGTGGGGCTCTCTGAATTTCTCCATATTTCGGATTTGTTCGGACTGGCCCGACGTTCAGGAATTAGCCCTCCCTCAAAACAGATGTTTTCGAGCCGCTAGGGTGGAGTTGCGCTTTCAAGATTCCAGTTTCCATATACGCCCCTTTTTTTTGAGTGACAGACTCATCAGCCAATCGAATGTTTGGATTCACACCCACCGTCCAATGAAAAGTTACCAAATGGGGGACTGAACTGTCGCTGCCATACAGCTCTTGTTACAGTACTTGTAGACATTTTGTCGGCTCAGAAAATTATGGACGGCATGAAACTCAGGGAATGGAACTGCTGAGGTAGTTGAAAAGCCAGAAGACGTCGGCATCTAAGGCCAAATCTATACATATATCCAGGTAAGACTGTGAAGTACTTTATTTGCGCGTAAAATATGAAAGAGTTGGCGAGTTGACAGTATAGAGAGCTAACGCTAATCACTTCCTGTTCGCTTCAGACTGAGAGTTTAGGCCTCAGCTACTAGCTTTAGAAAGCTTTTTAAACATTCGTGACAAATAACCCGGTGTCATTTTGATATCGCCATAGCTTTTACTTCTGTGCTAGAAATCAGTTTACTGGGAACAGGCTTGATCTGATCTTTTTTTTTTTCTACAAACAAAGTTAGGCTGGTATGTTGTGAGCCTCCACTCCCTCCCAATGTAGGAAGTCTGATGGGTGACCATTTATTCCTTCTCGTTCAGGCATACAATTCTGGTAGGAGTCAGGAATTAATGTGTAAAAATGAAACCTATTTTTAATGTATATTTAACACTCTCAAAACAAGTGATGTCTGGTCTGGCGTAGGAAAATTGACATCTTCAACCTTTATTCAACAACAACCAATTATTTCGGTCCTCACAGGCAATTTTTCATACTAAAAAATATACATAACAACCGGATAAGCATTTGCTTATTATGCCTACTCTTTATACATGTTTATCTAAAAGCTTCACTTTGCTAAATGGATTTGATTCATTCGAGATAAACAAAGTTACATACGACATTTTCCTAAATGCACATGCATATTTGGGTCGTTTTTACATTATTTTAATGTGGTTTCCACCATAATTTATGATCTATTATAACACCCAGAAATGTATTTTTATGCACTCTTTACTCATTATTAATCCTAATTTTAGCTTTGTTATTAATTTGCCGATTACTAAATATTATGAACTTTGTTTTACCGGTAGTTAAATTCAATGACTATCTATTATCATCAAACCACTTTTTAAGACTATTAATTTTATTTCCATTGTATTCAGAAGCTGTTCCAACTATTTTTTTATATTTTAGACACTTTACAAATATCATTTATACAGTTTGGGGCCTAGCACCGAACCTTGTGGAACACCTCAAGTGACATTCTTTAGATCCGATTTAACATTATTTATTTGTACAAATTGATATCTATCATCAAGGTAACTTCTAAACCAAGAGAAGGCTTTTCCTCTTATACCATATCTCTTCAGTTTCATCATTAATAAGCCGTGATCAATAGTGTCAAAAGGTTTTTTTTAGTTTTTTTTAGTTTAATCTAAGAAAACCCCCACAGTATATTCATTATCATCCTTTGCAGTGGAAATCTCTTCTACCAGTTCAATCACTGGCATTGGGGTTTCTGAAGGATCATGTGACTGGAGTAATGGCGGATGAAAATTCAGCTTTTTATTGTTATAAAAGAAAAATTATTTTAAATTGTTAGAATATTTCACAATATTACTTTTTTTTCTGTATTTTTGATCAAATAAATGCAGGCTTGATGAGCATAAGAGACTTCTTTCTGAAACATTAAAAATAGTAATGTTTCCAACCGTTTGACCGGTACTGTATATGTGACCTGTAAAAACCACAGAGGAAGAACTTTTTATTTTTTAAATATACTTTTTATAAAGAACAACTTTATTAAAAATAACCGAACTTTCAATATCAAAAATGGTGTAGTATTTACTAATAGCATGTATTAGTATTGTATATAACTCATAATTTAGTGTAGCATGTACTATTGCTACTTGAAAAAAGACCCAAAGACAAGAAGTGTTAAAAGGTAGTTGCTTGCTGGTGTTGAATGCAGAAATTAGGCTATAAATTGCATCTTTGCAGAAGAAACACAGCAGCAGTTTTGGTTCTGCTTTAAGCACATAAAAGGCGAATGTGTGTGTGTTGGATATGTACGATCTGAATAGAAAAAGAGCAGCAGTTATAAGGGAGTGTGTTATAGATGCAGCTAATGACAGAATTTGTAATGCACTGTGTATGTGAATTGTATTTCTGTCTAAAAGAGGAAGGTGACTGATAAGCTCCCATCATGCCTTTGGTGACTCGAAACATCGAGCCCCGGCACCTCTGTCGCCAGTCACTGCCAAATACAATCAAGAGTGAACTGGAGTGTGTGACCAACATCACTCTTGCAAACATCATTCGCCAGCTTGGATCACTTAGTAAGTATTAGAGTAATGGGGTGTTTACTGAAGGAAATCAGTTGTGTGTTCCTGCTTTTAACGTGTCATTTAATCATAGGTAAGTATGCAGAGGACGTGTTCGGCGAACTGTTTATTCAAGCCAGCTCGTTTGCTGAACGGGTCAATACGCTGGGGGAGAGAGTGGACAAGCTGCAGGTCAAAGTCACCCAGCTGGACCCTAAAGAAGAGGAGGGTAAGAAGCAGACTGGGTTATTTTAAAGGCATTTCATTAAGTTATAGCGCTAATGAGGCATATGTAGATTTTTGACCATGTTGGTTTGTCGCAGAAAACAGAATTCATATTCAACTATTTTGTTTTTGTTCTTTTATATAATTATTTTGATGTTTTATTTTCCTTTGTATTTTCCTCTTTTTTTTTAAGGAACTTTGTACTCTAACTTTGTTTAGCTCTTTTATTTTATTTATATTATTGATTATTTATTTTTTACTTTTTGTGCACATCCATCTATTTTTAGTTTTTACTCTTACAAAAAAAGTGCGAAATTTGATTTTTACAAATCAGTTTACTGTAGTATAACATTACAGTGTATCACTGTAATGTCATACATAAAGGGCAGTAGTATCTATAGCTATATCTGAATTTACTGTTTTCTGCGCATACACATACATTCATTGCATTGATATTCTGTATAAATAGAACATTAATGCCTCTGATGCACATGTTGTCTGATGCACTTAAGCATCATGTCAAGAGCTGAGGTAAAATTAGTGGTTTTTCACCCATTCTTTCCCCATCTACTCCCTATATCACTAGGCATCATAGTCATTACTATGGCAACACAAGTTTGATATCACTTGCAAAATGGCTTGTCATAAAATAGGATCTATGTGCAGTGTGAACTGTCCACACCAAGGACCATATATTACTAACGATAACAAGAAAGATCTAAAAAACAATATGGTTGGAATTACTTTCAGAATGATTTTTTTTTTTCAGCTGATGCACGATAAAAACAATGGCAGCCAATCAGAATCCACCAGACTTTAAAGAGCTTGAGGATTTAAAGCGACAGGCGATGAAATTGCAGTGTGTGCTTAGAATAAAGCAGACGATATCATCCGCTGGTGTGGATGGACGCTAATACAGTTATTGTTATAGTTACCTTTATAGTTGTCTTTCTTGGTGTGAACGGGTCTTTAGTTTGTGGTTTTTGAACAGTGATGATGAATTTATTCTTAATGTCATTATCTTTCTTTGTTTGTCTGTGTCCCTTTCTCCTATTGTTTCTTTCTTGTTCCAGTTTCTCTTCAGGCAATCACCAGCCGCAAAGCCTTCCACTCCAATTCCATCATGGATCAGCAGCTCTTCATTAGGTTATCACTACCACAACCTATCCATGAGACCTATCTGACCTGCAACGAGCCGCCCCCCCTCAACAACCTGAGCTCTTACAGGTATACACATTAACACACTTACCACATCTGACCACCGTTTACCATCCAAATAAAGAGGACCTATTATGTTTATTTACATCTTCAACTTTCTTTAATGTGTAATGTTGTTGTTTGAGCATGAAAAAGCTCTGTAAAGTTACAAAGCACAGAGTCCCTCCAGCGGGAGTTATTCTCTATATCAGTGTCGCTGTTTTTGACTCCAGTGTAGTCTTGAGTTTTCTTTCAGAAACGAACAAGTCACAATATTCCTCATTTAAATAATTCCCGTCCAAGCCATATGCAGAATAAAGAGGTTAAGGAGTTAGTTAGTAGTGTGTTGAAACTGGCGGTTATGGTAAGGGGCGGGACATTCCCCAATCACGCTCAAAGCGCTTGACCAATCACATCGCACTGATCCAGCTGACCAATCAGAGCACAGTGTGCTTTTCAGAAGGAGGGGCTTTATAGGTGTTTTTTAAACATTCAAGCATGAAAACAACAAAATTAAGGGCATAGTAGGTGCTCTTTAACTTAATTTTTAACTTTTTTTATAGTTTGTTTTTTAAGTGTTCAACATGATTAAAGTGTTTTCTGTTTTCCAGGGATGATGGTAAGGAGGCTCTGAAGTTCTACACTGATCCGTCTTATTTCTTTGACCTTTGGAAAGAGAAAATGGTTCAAGATACCAAGGACATTATGAAAGAGAAACGCAAGCACAAGGTGAGTGATGCAAGTACACCACCTTAAAATACCTCTCAGAATGCACAAGATTATTCAACGTGTTTGTGTTATTGTATTTCTGTGTTTATCGAGAGCAGAAGAAGAAAGACGACAACCCTAACCGAAGGAACTTTAACCCGCGAAAAATCAAAACCCGAAAAGATGAATGGGAACGCCGGAAAATGGGGGAGGAGTTCGTAGTCCCCAAACACGATGCCATGGGGTAATAAAAACAACATGCACAGGATACTCTTCATGTCTATGTGTATTTAATATTATTTTTATGTATGTGTCTTTAACAGTAACTCCATAGAAGGGTTGAACGGCAGTATTGGCTCTGGTGATGATGCTTTTAATCACTCTGATGGGTATTTGGACCAAAGCACAAACTCCTACAGCTATGATCCCGCCTCTCCTCTCCCACCTCCAATGCAGGAGGACTTCCCACCACCACCACCTCCAGACGCGCCGTGAGTGTCTTAAAATAGCCTGCGATTTCCCTGTTGTTGAGTATCAAATCCAGGTTCATTTCTGAGCTTGTTCTAACTAATCAATCAAAACTAACTTTAGCTGGACAATAACATCATTCTAAAGCCAAAACAATGTCTGTTACTTTAATTTCCTATTATCACTGTAAAACTGTTTTCAAACAATTCTCTGTATATATACTCTGTATATTTCTACGGCATCGCTGTCGAAGAGTAATTAGCTGGTGAAGTGGATTTACTTATTGTAGAGTTACTGAAAGTTATCATGAGTATTGTAATTTTTAAAGCAGATGTCTTAACAAATGTCAGTCGACCGGAAAGATTTTAAAACGGGCAGTTCATTCATAAATATGTAAGATTGCTGTGGGAATACAAAGCGGAAGACGAAAGACAACAAGCACAGCGCTGAAAGGGGGTGGGGCTACATAAGGTCTATATAAATGAAGGTGACTTGACTTCTCTCCCAGGCAAATTGGCAACGTACAGTATCACAGACCAAAACAATAGCAAACATTCCAGCCTGGAAACGCACATTTCACAGTAAAATAACTGGCTGTAGAAGTGTTTTTCAGAGAAACGAGTATGTGAACTTAGCATGTTTGCTCAATATATGCAAACATATTATGGTATTTTTATGCTTTAGTAGAGTGAAAAAGTTACATACAGCACCTTTAATTTCCTATTATCACTATAAAGCTGCTTTTAAACTATCTATTTTGTGAAAAAGCTCTATATAAATGAAGGTGACTTGACTTCTCTTCCAGGTATAACGAATCTGGTGGTGCGCCTCCAAAGCGTGGCAGTCTTTTAAGCCCCAGTCATCCTCCTCCAGCTCCACCAGCGATGCCTTCTTCTCCAGGCCGTCCAAATGTGGCTCCACCTCTGGCGCCGCCACCACCTCCACCTCCCGGTGGCATGATCCCACCTCCACCACCGCTAGGTTTCGATTCGCCCCCGTCTCCTCCCCCATTCTCTAGCAATTCTGCTTCTATCCCACCTCCACCACCCATAGAAGTCTCTATTCCAGCTCCTCCTCCTCCACCCATGGGTGGTGGACCACCTCCTCCTCCCCCTCCCCCTCCTCCTCCAGGCCCTCCTCCACCCTCCGCTCCTGCTCCTCCTCCTTCAGCAGGAGTTCATGCTCCCGCCGCTCCCAAAGCCCAGCCTCCTGCCGCCGAGGGTGGTGTTCGCAGTGACCTTCTTTCAGCCATCCGTCAAGGTAACATAATTAGATGCATTCACATACTTTTTAAAAGCTTAATTTAGTCAGATTAAACAAGAATTAAAATGATGCTTCAAGGTGTGTCACATTTACCTTTACCAAAGAATATAGAATAACACAAGACTCGTCCCTTGTATTGTTTTGATTTGGGTAAAGTGGGTAAAAAAAAAAAACTTGTTTTCTGTCATAATTCGAGCATGTAGGAACTAAATTTATAGGGGCTTTCGCACTGGAGGAACCTTTTCATTGTTCCTAGAACTATTGGCAGAAGTACCTGGATTTTGCCGTGTTCACACCGCAGGAATTAGGAACGATTTTAGTTCTAGGAACTCCTTTTGGAGGAACTAATTTAGCTCCTACTTCAGAGTCCAGGTCTAAACCAGCACTATAGGAACTATCTGTGACGTTAGTGTACGCCGATTGGCTGAACGACACAAAACACCAGCACTCGCCATTTAAAACAAAGCTGTGGAACATGTAAAACAGTGATAGATGGGCCTCTTAAAGGGATACTCCACCCAAAAATTGAAGAACGATTGGAACTTTGGCACCATTGACTTCCATAGTATTTTTTTTTTTTCTACTATGGAAGTCAATGGTGCCAAACAACTGTTTGGTTACAATCGTTCTTCAAAATATCTTCCTTTGTGTTCAGCAGAAGAAAGAAACTCATACAGGTTTGCAACAACTTGGGGGTGAGTAAATGATGACAGAATTTTCATTTTTGGGTGGAGTATCCCTTTAACCTTCACGCTGAGGAGAAAATCCAACACAACTTTGAGGGGACGAAGCAAAACATGATTATGTATTTATTTCTGCTCAGCAACACTGGACATCAACCACACGGCAAACGCGTATAACCTTTCATTACTGTCTACTTTCTATGTATGATCTAATATAGTATTAGACAGGACTGTTAGACAGATTGTAAAATAATGAACACACGGAGAATCCGAGCACTGTGAGCTCAGGTGCAGTCAAAATAAGTCACAACAAGAAGCGTGGCTTACATAACTTCAGAGTTCCTACTGGTGGTGCAAATGCAACCAGGAAAACGTTCCTATGGGAACCTAGCCTGGGAAAACCCAGACAACTTCTGGCAAATTTAGATTTGCTCTGAAAGTTAGTCTGGCAAAGAGCTCATTCAAGCCCATTTCCTATCCGTCGAAATCGAGGCACCAATCAGAAACGTTGGGGCGGGCTTTACACGATGACGACAGCGCGGGGATTTTGAAGCAGATTTTGTAGCCTACATTACAAAGACGGATGCCGCCGTCGAACATCACTCGTTCCAATCAGCTATCACGTCTGTTTTAAGAGATTTGAACGTTTCCCTTTTGTTAAAAACCGAGCAAAGAACAACACTCGGAGATGTTTCTCTGCATACGTCATCTCCTTCATCGCTCTAATTGGGTTTAGGTCTATCCGCGACGTCCGTTGGTGACGCCCCTCTGGAAATGATTTGTCTATGACGCTTTGCCAGACCATAACTCAGTTACAACTGAGAATGGTCTGGTTTTAACCAGGCTAATGGGAACCATTAGTTCTCGGGGAACCATCCTGGTGGCTAGATCCTAGAACTATCCGGTTGCGATAGCCTCTCATGAGACCGTTGTTGTCAGATTTCATTGGTAATTTCAAATATGAAATTTAATCGTAGCTTGGTGAACATCTTTGGAGAATTTGAGAGATAGCAGCTGCACTTGCATGACTGAGAGGCGTTTCAAAGATGGCCACAGAGGGAAATAACTTGTTTTACAGGGACTTTGCCGTTACTCAGCAAAATCTTTCAGGCGAAATCCAGTCATTCCAATAGAAATCCACTCTATCCTTGAGGGTGAAAAAGTTCCATGCAGATTTTGCTTATGTTCAAGTTGTCACGCAAATTCATTGCGCATTCGAAATTGTATCACTAGTGTTTTTGCGAAGTCGGACTAATAGACCTAGATGATGCAATTGTAGCACGTCTTCACCCGGCATGTATACACATTAATCAGACTAATTGTCCTTGGCATTGTGTGCACACTCCAAAAAACACAGGTGACGCACGTCATGTATTTAATCCTTTAGATATTTTATTGCGCTTTGTGCCACGTATACTTCGATAGACAGATGAAGACTGTAATTCAACTATGTAAAAAAAAGTTGCAGCTCTGTTATAACTCCAATGTAAACATGCTGACTGTAAATGAGTTTGAACACATCTATTTCAGGCGATCTGGGGCCGTATTCACAAAGAATTTTATCTTACCACTAGGAGTACTCCTAAATCGCACTAAAATATTTTAGCTAGGAGTTTTCTCTTAAAAGTTATTCACAACGCCTTTCAGACCTACTCTTAGTAAGGAAAAATGACAACTCCTAAACTAAGAGTGAGTCATCGTTGCTATAGATGACGTCAATTCTCATGCACGAGCTTCCTCGCAATGATCACGGTGATTGGTTGTTAGATGACAGGGCCATCATGCGGAACATAACACAGACGCAACAAATCATGGAATTACGACATCTAAATATGTCTGTGTCCTACACAAAATAATAATAGTAATGTCATCGAAATGCATATATAATGACATGTTTGTGCAGGCCCCAGTGAAGTGTAATTCTAAAAAGGCAGAGAGAGAGAGAGAAAAGTCGTGAATTCAATTAAATCAATGTAGCCTAATACCCCAATGAAAACCGTCACTTGCCTAATAATGAAAAACGACACTTGCATTAACACTTGCTTGGTTAATTGACATCATATTAGCCTAAATAGAAAAATAAACTTAAAACAAGGAAATGTTGCTCGAAGTAATGTAACTTTGAATGACGGTGGATTAAGAACTCGCCAAAACGGAAAAGAAAGCCCAACTGGACGCAGGATCAGTAACTGCTGCTGGCCCAGTTAGTGCTAGAAAAAAAAAAAACATAATAAAAGTGAAATTCGGCACTGGGATATCAAGCAAAACTAAGCGTGAGACATGGGAGAGGATTTGTTTGCAGATCAATGCAGCATTCCCGCTTGTGTCGCGGACGCCGGACGACTGCGAGAGGCGGTGGTGTGTGCTACGATCCTTTGTGAATAGGTCTTAGTGAGTTAGGAGTCCTCTCGACTTCTTTTAAGCTGTCCCAGACTTAGGTGCTACTTTTAGGGCTAAAATGCTTCGTGAATTACTCTTAGTGAATAAAATTAGGAGTCCTAAAGTTAGGAGTAACACGCCCATTATTTTTAGGAGTTGCTCCTAAATTCGCCAGTTAGGAGCTACTTTTAGCCTTAAAATTCTTTGTGAATACGGCCCCTGATCTCTAGTGGTTAAACTTTAACAATTTATCTTCAATTTAGTTCAGTTTAGCTAAATCTTTGTCACTGGAGGTCATTAAGGTGCACTTGAGAACTTGATTTGGGGTTGTTAAATCACCTAAAACAGATGTTAACACCAGGAGGAAGCAAGTCTTTTAAATCATTTCTACTCTGGGTCAAAGTTTACAGACCAAAATAGATATTTATGTACAGGTTATAAACAATGTGGTTAATTGCCAGCATTTAACAGCCTTTACTTACAAAACATGGAGGAAAGTGTGTATATATAGTATTGCTGTGTTATGATCATATTGCATGTGATTGGCTCCTCATTGAATTATCATTATATTTGCTTACTCTTATGAGACCGTCATCATCAGAGATGCTGTACTTACATTAAATATATCTATCCTTAAGTGGTTTAACATATTGTTAATGTTTCTTAAAATGTGACTGAGCTTGATGAAATTGTGTGTGTGTGTGTGTGTGTGTGTGTGTAGGATTTAACCTGCGTAAAGTGGAGGAACAGCAAGAGCTGGAGAAGAGAGGTCGCACAGATAATGATGTTGCAGCGATCCTATCCCGTCGCATTGCCGTGGAGTGCAGCGACTCCGAGGACGATTCATCCGACTTTGATGATGACAACTGGTCTGACTAAAGCTATCGTCCTGCTCTTCATCACCTGTGCTATGACATTAAGATCATTCCTTTTAGACTTCACACTTCTCATATTACCTGTTTACCTGCAGTGAGGCCAAAAGCAAATAAGGGGAAGTGGGCCAAAAAGTGTGTGTGTGTGTGTGTGTGTCAAGAGGGTTGAGTCTAATCTAAATGAGAGAGTGAATTATTTAGTTGATAAGCCTTCTCCTGTTTCAGAGCGGCTGTGCCTCTGTATAATTTGGCCAAAGGTAAACCGAGTGTGTGTGTATGTGCTTCTATATTTTCTTCTTTATGCATCAGTATAATTTCTGTTAAAATCCCACGATTTAACATTACTCTGTATAAACTAATCAACTAAAGCCTTCCTTACAACTAAGACAAGACACACTTTATAATGCAGATATTTAAAATAATAAGATGTGTGTCTATGATAGTTCTTGCACCTTGTAGGATGAAACAACCTTTTATTCCATTGCAACACATATTCATGACCAAAAGTTGTTGTCTGTTTAAATGGCACCGGCGGTATCTGTACGGTTTTACAGCCCTCGGGTTTGACTGATGTAGTTTTTTTCCTCCGTTCAGCCCAAGTGCCTGCTTCATAATGCCTGTTGTTTTAATGCCAAAGTTTTAGAAATTATGCAAGATTTTGAAATCAAAGAAAAGTGAGTTTTTTTTATTTGATGTATGTGGGTAATAATTACAAGAATTTTCTATCAACAATTGAAATAAAATCTTAAATATAATGTTGTGTCCTGCTGCTGTTAGTCATTTCATCATAAGTGTTCTTCTGTGTGCATAGCTGAACTGTTTCTACATGTCTGAGCGTGTGTGTGTGTGTGTGTGTGTGTGTGTGTGTGTGTGTGTGTGTGTGTGTGTGTGTGTGTGTGTGTGTGTGTGTGTGTGTGTGTGTGTGTGTGTGTGTGTGTGTGTGTGTGTGTGTGTGTGTGTGTGTGTGTGTGTGTGTGTGTGTGTGTGTGTGTGTGTGTGTGTGTGTGTGTGTGTGTGTGTGTGTGTGTGTGTGTGCAGGGGCTTCAGGAGTCAGACTACATGCCATTCGTGCTGCTTTATTTGGGGAAACATTGAATCCACACACAGGTGCTCTACAGCTTTATGAATGTTTTGGTAATTCATAAAAAAAAATGAAGAATGCGACAGTCCAGTCTGTAATATGACTTAGTTTCTATGGACCTTATTTATAAAATGTTACATAGAAACCGTCCAACGTTTGATCTTACGATCATTTCTCAAGTGTGCGTAAGTGTGATTCAGAGAACGAACGTACGCCCGTCTCTCTTCCAGATGTGAAATGTATAAGCAGAGGTGGACAAAGTACACAACTTCCTTAGGCTACTTGAGTGAAAGTACAGATATTACTGGTCAAATATTACTCTGTTACAAGTAAAAGTTGTAAAGACCGATTTTTACTTAAGTAAAAGTACAGAAGTATTTAATTTTAAAAGTATTTGAGTATCAAAAGTAAAAGGTATGTCAATGCATGGTTGTATTAGTGCTGCATTGTTGTATGTAATACTTACAGTACCCTATGCCTCTGAATCTATGCCTGCCTACCCTCATATCAATATTAACTTTATTTCTATAACACAGTTCCAGTTGTGGGATTGAATGTGAGATTGAATAAGTGCACTCAATAACGTCCACAATGGTTTCGGACACACAAATGGCTGTTCCCTCAAATAGTGCCCTATTTGAAGTTTTTTGGCTTTTAGTATGAATATGTTAGCCTTGTTATCTATAAGCTAGTGTGCTCCAAAACAATGAAAAAATTGCATTTAGAAGACCAAACCCAACGTTGAAAATGAAAATCAGTTTGATGCCAGAATCCAACGTCAGTTTGACGTTAATCTCCAGCGTTGGACAGGTGTTGTATTGTGGTTGAAAATGAAAATCGGGCTGACGTCAGAAACCAACATCAGTCGAGTTCTGACATCAACCCGACTTTCATTTCCGACCAAAATGCAACCCCTGCAACCAAAATCATCCCTTGACTGACGTTACTACTTACTACTTTCTTGACAAAGTAAAAAAAAAAGTCTTTCAAATGTAGTGAAGTGGGTTGTAAGTCAGAACGTAGGCTCACTATTGGCCGATGCTGGTCATGTGTGTGATGCTGGCCAATAGTGAGCCTACGTTCTGACGTACAACCCAGAAGTGCAGCGCTGTTACACTACCTCAACAGCTTAGGAGAATGACATTGAAGAGAAGAGATGGTTAAATAAAGTCGCTATTTTTTTACGCACAAAATGTGTTCTTGTCGCTTGATAAACTTATTGAGCCACTGTAGTCACTTGGACTATTTTAAACATTGTCTTTACTAACTTTCTGGGCCGAGAAGTTGATCCCATAGAAGCCTATGGAAGAGTGAGACAGCTCTCAGATTTAATCAAAAATATCTTAATTTGTGTTCCGAAGATGAACGAAAGTCTTACGGGTTGGAACAACATGAGGGAGAGTAATTACTGACAGAATTTTCATTTTTGGGTGAACTAACCCTTTAAAGCTGCTGTAGGTAACTTTTGAAAAAATGTATTTGCTAAAACTGTCATTATGTCCTGACAGTAGAATATGAGACAGATAATCTGTGTAAAAATCAAGCTCCTCTGGCTCCTCCCAGTGGTCCTATTGCCATTTGCAGAAATACACGCTCCCGGTCAGAAACAACCAATCAGAGCCGGGAGGAATGTCTTAGCAGTGTCAGTCACGCTCGTGTACGCGCTGATCACACCCCTCTCTTGCACAGCGCGAGCCGTCATTCAAACTCAAGATTGCCGGCGTGCTGCAGCTGTGCTTATGACGGAGAAACAACCTAAACTGCCAATTCTCGAGTGACACCTGCTCATAAAACAAAGAGGTAAAAGGAAAAAGACTGATGACGATAAACAAGCGAAAAAGAAAGAATTACACAGAGCCCATCGACTCGGTGTCAAAACTCTAGCCGCATAACATGTAGATAAAATGTCACGCACTCTGCTAAGCAACAATTGAAACCTGCTAATTCACTGGCTTGTCATGTTGCTGAAATAATGTACTAGCACACCTTATCTAGCATTATATATCGCTAGAATAATTACTTACATACTGTAACGTTAGTTACCGTTATATTAACGTTATCTTACTAGCTATTTATAACTTATAGAAAGAGTGCAACGTTATAAAGTTACATGTAGGCTATTGCGAAATACATAATGATTTGAGGACCAAGTTTGTAGTCAAAGTATGGGCAGGCCATAGTCAATGTAAAGCATATTGTTGACGTTTAGTCCCTATTAGTGAATGTGCCATATAACTTTTTATCCGCCGTTATCGGTGGCCCTGTTTACTAGCCTGCGCGTTCACGACAGGCTCCGCTGTGGAGGATGAGCTGTGGAGGGAGGGCTGTAGCGCAGCAGAGAGCAAGGGGGTGGGACCTGTAAGTTGTGCTTGTTCAAATTTTCAGGCTAAGTCAACGTTTTCTCAAAACTCCCTACTGCAGCTTTAACTCTTTCCTCGCCATTGACCGAATTTTCCGGCTTTCCGTGTTTTCACTGTTTTACGGTAGGGGGGGCTATTACACATCTTCTGAAAGAGTAGAGAATCTCCAAATCAAAACACAAGCAAAAAATGAGCAGAAACTAGTAATAAAAGCAGGGCCTAAAATCAACACTCGCCAAGCACCAAATGCGAGTAAAAATCTGCATCTGCAAGTATATGAAACAATGTCAATCGCCAGTTGCCCGTTAACATTTTTATGAATTCTTACAAATAAAATGTTGTGAGAACATGAACTTGAATAAACGTGAACGATGCTCGGGACAGTTGTGCTGCATCGTCGCGAAAGTTTGAGCCTTGCCAATTTAAATATTCAAGCACAAGAAGACATTAAAGGGAAATTAATTAAATTAATTTTCTGAGCACACACATCCAAAGCGTGTGCTTAGAAAGCTGCATCTCGGACAAATACTGGTACTCACTGGTATCTAAAATTTTGGTGTCATTCCTGCCGGTTTTTGCAAAAACATTGTCATGGCTATTAAAAAATATTTATGGGAGCTGGCTGGTAAATTTTCTTAAGTCAACGGCCATTGCCAGCAGGTGTTGCAAAAAGTTAGTTTTAAGCCCCGGATAAAACCATTGCTTATGCACGTTGTTAAAAAAAGAAAGAAAAAAAACGCTAACGGGGAAATAGCTAAAGGTGCAGTAAGCGATTTCTGAGAAATGCTGTTGATATTAAAATCACTGGGAAAAAAACACGCCTCTGCCCAAAAGAATCACACCCCTATCTTGATAGCTCCGCCCCCAAATACACAAACACGCTATGCAACACAGGCACCTCCCCCTAATGAGTCTATATGCCCCTTAATACTGATTGGCTACAAGTGTGTTTTGGTGCTCGGTCCGCTCCACTTTCAACAGCGTTTCTCAGAAATCGCTTACTGAACCTTTAAAGTTGCAGACGACAAAACGGCAGTGCGTGATTATAATAAACAGTGTGGTGTTGGTAGTTATTGCTATAGGTATCATTGGTGTGAACGGGCCTTACGTGTCCTACTCAGTATCAGCAGCACATTTAAAAAATATCTCACGCACAATAAATATGACACTAGGTTGATTTTTATTGATGCAGATGGTTAAAAACCATGTAACTCAATTCTAGATATTCTTAGCAGTGTTCTTTTTGTATCGCTGAGATACTATTATAGTTTCTATCAATATTTAGAATGTTATTTTTTTATTTCTGTTTAAAGTGTAATATTACATAAAGATTAAGAAATTTAATGTTTTTTGTAATGTAGCCTATATATAGTTTTTATTTCAGTTTTATTTATTTTATCAAGTTAAACTAAATGAAATGAAAAAAATGTTTGCGACCTTGGCAACTAGCTCAAATAAAATACATTTATTTAATATTTTATTTCAATTATTTCAGATGTTTTTTTATGGTTTTAGTCAGCTTATAACCCTGATTCATACCCAATTTCTTTGGATTAATATTTAAATTAAGTTAAAACCACGAACTTTCACACTTTTAATATAATAAAAATACTTGCAAAAAGCACAACAGAAAATGTACAAAAGTTACAATTTATTATTTATAAACATATTCCATAAAACATCTCATTTCAACAATAAAACATTCACTCATACATTTGGACATTTTGTGCAACATTAATACATTGTAAGTGCAAACAAGACATTTATGAAGTATAAAAAACATAAGTCGGAATAACAAACGGCAAATAAAGTTTCAGCTTAGAAGTCAAGTCATTGTCGTAAAGTGCAAATGATTTTTCCATCAGTAACTCTGAACTTCAGAGGACATAAAATGAGGCACAAATCCGAGACGTTAAAGCGGACAGGAGAGTTTCTGCTTGGACCCTTTTAGTTGGCAACTAGCTAAAAGGATACAGTGGCCGTTTTCTCAATCAAAAATGAACAACACTGCTACATAAACCCTTTTCGAATGAAATAAAATAAGTAGATCAGGTCACTGACAGTGGTCATGGTAAATCTTTCGACAGCCGATTTGGCAACTGGCACAGTGACGTTCCCAAACAGGAACAGACATAAAATGTGGAACGCAATCTTTAATGGCACCATAGAATCTTCTGAAGTGTTTTCTGATTGTTCTGTCAGACATCACTGGGGGTGTGTGTGTGTTTGTTGGGTGTGTTAGGCAGACAGCAGCAGCAGGCCTGTCGCAGCACTCTCTGTATGTGTGTGTTCCTGTAGGCATAGATCAGAGGGTTCAGCAGAGAGTTTCCAGTGACCGGAACCAGTGTGGCGTAAGTGTAGAGAGCCGGTGACGACCCGTCGGCCAGAAGCCCGTACAAGGCGAAGGGCATCCAGCAGCTGGCGAACGTGGTGAGGATGAGCGCGAGTGTGTTAACCCGACGGCGCGTGTGTGTGCGAGCGGACGGGAGTGTGTGCCTCTGGAGGGCGATTTGATGCGAGTGGCGGAGCACGACGCTGCAGATTCGGGCGTTCAGCTGCAGCATTAAAGCTAAGGTCAGCAGAAAGCCTCCACATAGAGTCGCCAGGTGCACTCGGGTCAAAGGTCGAAGCACGCTGCAGGATTCTCCATCATGCAAGCAGTTCCAGCCCAACGCAGGAAGAGCACCTTGAAGACCCGCAAAAGTCCAGCCGACGGCCAGAGCGCAGAGTGTTTGCGCGTGTGTGCGACGGGATCCGTAAGTCAGCGCGCGATGCAGCGAGAGGAACCGGTCCAGGGTGATTCCCAACAGAGAGAAGACTGACGCACTGAGCGCGCTCACCAACAGACCCACACTCCCCAGCTCCAGAGCCTCCGAGTAAACGCACCGACGGGACAGGAAGTGTAAAATAAGCCCCGCCCCCGCCAGGAAGTCGGCCCACGCCAGGCTGCAGATTAACAGGAACATGGGAGCCCGCAGAGACGACGAGGAGAAGATGGTGGCCACGATGATGGCGTTCTCACAGCAGATCACAGCTCCTGATACACACAGGGCCACGTCCCATGGGGTCATCACTGTTGTGGACTCCAGGGGTGTAGGGGTCACGGCGGACGGGGTGAGCTCCAGGAGTTGGTCCATCGCCAAGATGACATCTAAACCCACTTCAGAGTTGTTCAGGGCCATTTCTGCAGGGGAGGGAGAGAAGGGTTAGTCACGCAATCCACAGCAGGGAGACTGTCACATATTCTGTTCTACACTAGAGCTCATGCACTGAGGATCCTGTCCTCCACCCCTGACCTCACTATGACACGTAGAGTAAGACCTCATGACACGTAGAGTAAGACCTCATGACACGTAGAGTAAGACCTCACTATGACACGCAGAGTAAGACCTCGTGACACATAGAGTAAGACCTCATGACACGCAGAGTAAGACCTCATGACACGCAGAGTAAGACCTCATGACACGCAGAGTAAGACCTCACTATGACACGCAGAGTAAGACCTCATGACACGCAGAGTAAGACCTCATGACACGCAGAGTAAGACCTCATGACACGCAGAGTAAGACCTCATGACACGCAGAGTAAGACCTCATGACACGCAGAGTAAGACCTCATGACACGCAGAGTAAGACCTCATGACACGCAGAGTAAGACCTCATGACACGCAGAGTAAGACCTCACTATGACACGCAGAGTAAGACCTCGTGACACGCAGAGTAAGACCTCATGACACGCAGAGTAAGACCTCATGACACGCAGAGTAAGACCTCATGACACGCAGAGTAAGACCTCACTATGACACGCAGAGTAAGACCTCATGACACGCAGAGTAAGACCTCATGACACGCAGAGTAAGACCTCATGACACGCAGAGTAAGACCTCATGACACGCAGAGTAAGACCAGTAAGACCTCATGACACGCAGAGTAAGACCTCATGACACGCAGAGTAAGACCTCATGACACGCAGAGTAAGACCTCATGACACGCAGAGTAAGACCTCATGACACGCAGAGTAAGACCAGTAAGACCTCATGACACGCAGAGTAAGACCTCATGACACGCAGAGTAAGACCTCATGACACGCAGAGTAAGACCTCATGACACGCAGAGTAAGACCTCATGACACGCAGAGTAAGACCAGTAAGACCTCATGACACGCAGAGTAAGACCTCATGACACGCAGAGTAAGACCTCATGACACGCAGAGTAAGACCTCATGACACGCAGAGTAAGACCTCACTATGACACGCAGAGTAAGACCTCGTGACACGCAGAGTAAGACCTCATGACACGCAGAGTAAGACCTCATGACACGCAGAGTAAGACCTCATGACACGCAGAGTAAGACCTCACTATGACACGCAGAGTAAGACCTCATGACACGCAGAGTAAGACCTCATGACACGCAGAGTAAGACCTCATGACACGCAGAGTAAGACCTCATGACACGCAGAGTAAGACCAGTAAGACCTCATGACACGCAGAGTAAGACCTCATGACACGCAGAGTAAGACCTCATGACACGCAGAGTAAGACCTCATGACACGCAGAGTAAGACCTCATGACACGCAGAGTAAGACCAGTAAGACCTCATGACACGCAGAGTAAGACCTCATGACACGCAGAGTAAGACCTCATGACACGCAGAGTAAGACCTCATGACACGCAGAGTAAGACCTCATGACACGCAGAGTAAGACCAGTAAGACCTCATGACACGCAGAGTAAGACCTCATGACACGCAGAGTAAGACCTCATGACACGCAGAGTAAGACCTCATGATCCTCATGACACGCAGAGTAAGACCAACAGCTGTTAACAACATCTGACGTCCATAGTCTGCTCATTACAAGTACTGCTCCAGATGCTGGCAAGGGGACACTTTTTTACATTAAAACATTTACATTTTAATGTAAAAAAATATTGTAACATGAATTCTGCATTGAAACATATAATATAAATAAACTATTACTAAGTCTATATTTTATGCCCACCGAGACTGCATTTCTTTGATCAAAAATAAAGTATTCTGTGAAATATTATTATAATGAATAAACTGTTTTCTACTTGAATATATTTTAAATTTTAATCTATTCCTGTGATCAAAGCTGGATTTTCAGCATCATTACTCCAGTCTTCAGCGTCACATGATCCTTCAGAAATCATTATAATATGATTTGCTGCTTAAAAACATTTCTTATTATTATCAAAGTTGCTGTTATGTAGCCAAATATTTTTTGTGGACAGCATGGTACATTTCCCTAAAATGTCTTTGATCTCAGCTCTATTATATAAAATTAATAAATTCTATATTAATATAAAACAATATTAATATTACTTCTTAATTTGTGTATCTGTAAATTGGGTATATTAATATATACCCAATATATGTTACATTTTATGTATTCTTTTCACTGCATATTGCATTGTTTTAGTGTTACCTTAGTGGTAGGTATTGTTGGTAACATTTTACATTTACATTGTTCATGGAAAGGCTGATTTGAACTTGAGGCCCTATTTCCATATCATCCATCTATTTCAAAGCAATGTTTCCCAGCCTCTTTGCATCCATAAGTAGCTAAATCTCACACACTCCATCCAAAACTGAAATCTTTTTCTTTCACATTACACACGAGTCATTATTTCAGTAGGTTTTGTAGGTTCATAATCAAATGCAATATTTTCAAGTATATCCCCTGAATCCTGTGGGATTACACGTGCGCACGCATGGGAATCACCGTTTTGAACTTCAAGCTGATCGGTATAACATACACGGTTATGTAAAATACACAACAAGCACCAATGCAGTCCTGTAATAATGCATTCAATATTCTCGATGAATTTTTACAGCGCTTTTCTAACAACACAGCTAGTCAACTAAAATGTAACAAGGTTTCACATTGTAGATAAAGATGCATAAAAAAGACTTACGGATGAAGATTGCAAAGCGGACAATTCTTCACGCCAGCATCCAGCAGAAACCTGAGCTCGAGCCGCCAGTGAATAACAGGGATCCGCCGAGACGCGTGAAAATCCAGATCTTGTGGAAAAGATATCTGGCTCTTCTGGCAAAGCTCAGCTGTACTCGGTGTTTCCAGCGCTTCTGTATAACACTCGGCTCCGGTGGGCAGAGAGCTATACCCTCACCGATTCCCCCATGACGTCAGTTACGATGATGACGGGCGATTCTGCCCCGCTAGACCAATCAGGAGGCTCGCAGGAACACCAGCCTCTGTCGTAGCTTTTTTCATTCATAAAAATACCGCATTCTTTCACCCCGCCCACTGCGACGGCGGGAGAGAGAGAGAGAGAGGACAGAGAGTAATCAATTGGCCTTGTTAAAGGCAGCCCTTAAGTGAACCAAAAGACACAGTCAGGGTTTTCTTAAAAATCTCTAAATATTACAACTAGTTGACTAACACAGCACACATAATGCACGCAGCAAGGGTGTGTTTTGCATGCGCTTGACCGATGGAGCGTGTGTGTGTGTGTGAGAGAGCGAGTGTGATGGAGAGTGAATGTGAGAGTGAGTCACTGCTGTCCATGGTGCTGAAACACTTGATGGTGACGTCAGTTGTGCCGCACTATTGGGGTGCGTGGCACGATTTTTGCTTTCACAAAATCCCATCTATAACCTTGACTAAGCTAAATGTATCATGTCGCATGATGCACGCACGCACACAACTGCCTAATTTAAAATGTAATTTTAATGTGCTGCCATTCGGATGCCTGAAGGTTATACAGCTGAGCTATGACATAATTTCCCTGCAGATGAAGGAGATTATGGCGCTTCCCGGCAGATTCGGCGCGTGGGCGTCGCAGTGCTCGCGTGGCTCTGCATGTCAATGAAGCAAGTGGGCGCGCGCTACAATACGGGGAAACTCTCCTGTTCTCTATAAAAGGGCATGTGCTTCCGGTGGTCACCAGCTGGAGGAATTTAATATCAACCCTCTTAAGATACTGACTGATGATACATACTGAACAATCTGTCAAGCAATCTTGTTTTTAAGAAATGCTATGATTGACTACCCTGTTGCGGGAAACATCCAGCTGTGTTGTGGAACATGATAGCTGGTTTCTAACTGGTCTAAGCTGGAAATTAGCTGGTACTATTTAAAACATAAATTGGTTGGCTACCTTAAGCTGTTATGGAATGTATTTTTTGTACCTTATGGTCATCGACTAAACCTGGATTAGGCCTTAGTTCAATAGGGCCTTCCTATAAACATGCCTTAGAAAAAAAAACATTTCTGGTGTGCATCGTGAGACAAAACAATAGCACTGACATATTTTAAGATATGTCAGTGCAAGTTGCTTTCAGTTATAAACAGCTCAAACATGCATTTTAGTTTGCGACTAGCGAAGCCTTGTCTGTGAAAGCTGGTTTGTTGGCACAATAGTCTACAAGTTTACACCTGCTATAAACTAGTTACACTGAAAAACTCAACCTAAATACATTAGAATACACCAACAAGACTAACAACTGCACCAGGGGCGGCCTTACCTATGTTTCACCCGTTTCAATTGAAACAGGCCCCGCCCTCCAAGGGGGCCCCAACAGACCAGCAAAATCCCATTCATTTTCTCCGTAGGATATTGATTTTCAGCCATAATGTCTACTCTAAACCATTCAAGGTAGATTGACCACGAGCTACGAGGTTGTAAAATTAAAGTTTCTGCTCCTTTAAAAGCCACAAGCTACGAAATCAACCTTGTTATTTGCAAAACACTGACGTCTCTGATTGGTCGAACTCGCGGTTACCATGGCGGCGGTTACCATGGCGACGTTTACCACTCCCACGAACGGCTTAAGCGATCTGAAGTATAATATCGGTAGTTTATGTATTCTACACCTTTGCCTTTTTTGCCGTTAGGTTAAAATGTTATTTTGAGCAGAAAAATAATTTTAAGAGGAAATGAAACGTACATTTGCCAGTGGTGCTAAAAAACGAAAGATATCGGACAAAAAAAAAAAAAAACCTTTATTCAGTCTACCAAAAGTGAAGTTACTCTGCGTGAAAGGGCGAGGCTTATTCCAACGTAAAACGCCGTATAATTGTATAGTTTTAATCAAATAAGGTTGGATTATTTCTATGTTGAGCTGCCTGTTCATGAAGCTGAAAGTGCACGTAATAAAATAATATACCATTGATGCAAACCAACAGGAATCCTTGGAATCCTCTATTATGTTTATGTTTTATGTGGGTAGGGGCCCCTTATTAGTTATTGAAACGGGCCCCCAGATGCTTAAGGCCGCCACTGAACTGCACCATGTGTTGCATGTTCCTAAACACAGCTAACAGTTTTCCAGGATTTCCATCTGGGTGCACCTTTAGTGTTTGCTTTATCAAACCTGTACAAATCTGTTTAGTAACAATCTACGTAATTAGCAATAAAACATCATTGGCCTAATGCACTTCATGTGTCAGTCTGCACCCAGCAAATATACAGCAGAAGCTCATCTCTGAGGTTCCCTGAGATTATGTCAATGAGAGAAATAAGAGTACAGACACTATTTAACATTCTAGCGTTGTATCTCCTTGTCCTCAGTTTCGGCGGGAAGTCTGTGTGTGTGTGTGTGTCTGTGTGCATGTGGTGGGGGGTGTACTGCGGAAATTCTCCCAGTTACCTAATATCTGCAGAGCGCATGTGCGGCTTTATCTCTGCACCTAGTCTCCCTAGAGGAGGACGCCCACTCTCTCTCTCTCTCTCTCTCTCTCTCTCTGTCTCTCGGTCTCTCAGTCTCTCTCTCTCTCTCTCTCTCTGTCTCTCGGTCTCTCAGTCTTTCTCTCTCTCTCTCTCTCTCTCTGTCTCTGTCTTTCTCTCTCTGTCTCTTCATGTCGTGATCTGATTTTTGGGTGATCTGCCTGCATGTCGTGGGACATTACACACACGAGTTTACAGAGTGATGGTGAGATTCTCAGTGGGTTTCAATTGAACGGTGGGTCAGCAAACAAATGCTGACCTGATTTGCAAAGATCCCAGATGTGTAAAATGATGTGGCACTGATAGTGGCGACTGCTTCCTCCTACAGAAGCATGCCCTCCTGCACCTACACATCCATTACATCATCACCTCCTCTGCTCCGTTTATGATGTTGTGACTTCTTTAATGATCATCCTGGAGGACAGTGAGGATGCAGAGGACTTGAGGGATAGAGAAAGGAGAACTTGTTACGTAAAAAAAAATACAAATTCAAGCTAAAATACATTTAAAATATAGCTACACTAAATATATGTTGCATAAAAGCATGCCGTTTGTTTAAACCTTCAAATGCAAAAATATACTACAAAATGCATAGAGATAAAAAAAATATAGAGATAGCAAAATTTCTCATCAATACCAATAACCGATAATTCAGAATGATATCTGTAGATACCTATAGTTTGATTTTCTTAAGGAAAAAAAATCTCTCCCAACTGCAAATTATACAGGGAACCCTCTCAATTAGTACATTACTATAATATAATAGCTATTAAATTCAAAAGCTATTTATTTTCTGATATAATAATTACACTAATAAAAACTGAAATGTTTATATGTTTGTAGTTTTAAACACTTGTCTTCATGACAAATTTATTCAAACATACATAATTAACAGCAAATAAGCTCCTCTCTAGTGTTTTTATAGTTTACTAATAAAATTTGACACGTGTTTTCTCGCCCTGTTGATTGACACGGCTTGATATAATCGGCTTTTTAAACAATCGGCTGATGGCCAATAAATGATTGCTTTTATTGGCCGATACATATATATTGGACTGTATAAATATAAATAGAATGATGAAAATATACTCAAAAAATACATTTAAGTAACTAAAACTTATTGAAAATATATTTATGTTAAAATCTACATTAGCAATATATTTTGGGCATTTTTGTATATTTTGAAACATATAAATATTGTATTTCTTTCCCCTTTGGTCTGTGTTTGTGTGTTATATTAAATATTTAAATAGGCCATATAGGCATAGGCAGCCTTTATCCTTACGCTACAAATTACAGCTGTATCCTAAAAGCTTTTCTGGGTCACCAGAGAGATAGACAGACAGAAAGAAGCTGGACAGAACCAGTATGGACCTGAATCTGTTGTTAGAGGTGTGACAAATTTCTGCAGTCTGCTTGTGAAAAGGCAAAATTTCTTCAGTGGTGTGGATATCAAGACATGGTCATTTGCCATTTGGTTGCCATGTTACCTGTCTCACATTACACACCTTCCAGTCCCACTGAATCAAAGTGCATGACGTCAACAGACACACACACACACACCTCACAGTTCACAACGACCTTTCATCTGGAGGACACAGACATTTAGGACTGGATGTTAGCTTGACAGGGCTAACTTTATGACTCCTATTCTTTAAGTTGTTAGTTTTCAGCTTTCTGGGGCGAGGAAAAGTTATTTGTGTGTTTCTCAGTTCATCAGGTGTTTCACTTTCAACCTGTTGGCTTGTTTCAGCTTCTAGCTGCTCTGTGTTCAGCTGAGTAAGTCTGACTATAAGTTAGACTGATTCATTATTATAGGTGGAATCATTGTCGATTTTTTGAGGATGAGGTGTGTGTTGGCCGCACTCTGTGGGATTGTACTTCTAACGCAGGTTATTATAACCGATTCACAAGAATCAGGTAAGTGTAGAAGTTTGTGTATGTATGCTGAAGAACCTTAACTTTAAAAATAGTTTTCCCTTAAACATCTTTTGATCCTTGAATTATCTTTCTCTGATGTCTCTCAGCCATGACATCCAACTGCAACTTTGATTAAACTTTTATTTGAATCATTATATTTATGATTTTAGCTTATAAACAAGAAATGTTAAATAGCTTAAGAATACTATAACTTTAAAACATTACTCTAATCTTTGTAGTTTTTGAGATTGCTCAAATGTAGAGTCACTAAGCCTGTATAAAAAGTCTGTTTTATTCAGTTGCATTTGAGTGTTTGCTGCTGACTGAGACTTAAAATTAGTAAGATTATTTTGTCTCGATTAGCATGTCCCCATGTCTTGCTTAATTGATGACATTTCTAACTTCCCTCTCAAACATAAGGGCCTGGTTTTACAGACAGGGTTTAGATTAAGCCAGGAATAGGCCTTAGTTCAATTAAAGCATTTAAATAGCTTTTTTTTACATGCCTTAGATACAACATTACTGGTGTGCATCTTGAGACAAAACAATAGCACTGACATATTTTAGGATCAGTTGCTTTCAGTTAAAACAGCTCAAACATGCCTTTTTTTAGTCTGGGACTAGCTTAAGCCTTGTCTGTGAGTCCATGGGATGACGTGTTATGTGAGCAGTTGAGAATATAAGCTTACATCTTTTATCTCCTGATGGATTGACAGATGATTCAGCCATTGGGTACTGTTCTCAGTTTGACTCGTGTGATGGCTGCATCAGCGGAGACCCGGCCCTCAACCTGACTCGATGTGTCTGGCAAAGCTGTAATGACGGTAAAAGAACACATGTAGCATATGAGTTTGGATGTATTCTCCTGTGCAATGTCTCTATTGTTTATGCACACATACATACAGAGGATCCCACTGACGGACATGCGATCCGAGCCACGGAGAGCGAGCTCAGGAACAACCCGGTGAATTATTCAAACGCAGGCAGTTACAGCTGCCGTCCACACAGACATCACACTCAGTAAATAATTCAACACCATTATCCACCCTCCTGGAAATAAGTGTAAGGGAGACATAAAGAGAGAGAGAGAGAGATGTTCAACAAGAAGTAGCATCTTTTAGTCTATTCATGCTCTGTTGCCAAGGCAACCGTTTCTGTAACACAGTCTCTTTCTCGCTCATTTAGACCCATATATCTAAAATACAATCTTACATGCTGCCTATACCCACCCAGCTTTACACAAACACAACTTAACTATTTAAAGGGATAGTTCACCCAAAATGCAAATTCTGTCACCATTTACTCACCCTCAAGTTGTTCCAGACCTGTATGAATTTCTTTTGCTGAAAACAAAAGAAGATATTTTGAAGAATGTCTGTAACCAAACCCATTTGATGACCCCATTGACTTCCATAGTATTTTTTTCCCCCATAGTCTACTATGGAAGTCAATGGGGTTTTCAAATGGGTTTGGTTACAGACGTTCTTCAAAATATCTTCTTTTGTGTTCAGCAGAACAACCTTTTTTGGGTGAACTATCCCTTTAAGGACGTGTTTTAGGGTAGTGCTGCCCATTGGACAAAGTTTAACGGCCAACCTTGTTATCCAATCACATTACAGCCTTGACGTCATTGAATTTCTCTCAGAGTTGTGCGACAGTCAATCACTGTTTGCGGATACCATAGAAATGCTGTAAATGGAATCTGTCGTAAAATAGTCAGCGACTTCTCTTATAAAATAGCATTTTTTCTGCATAAACTCTTAAAATAGATCAATCCAAAACGAATGTTTAATGGCAAACATGTTGAAGCTTCATGTCGATTTATTAACTGATAAGCTGTTTTCCGACATAAGCAGGTTATTCAGTGTATAGCGAAGCCTCTCCTCCATTGACATCCATTAATAAAGAAGAAGACGTCCTCTGCCCTCCTTCCCTGTGTACTGTATTTCTGCTAGCTTTGGAGGCTGGCCTTAAAGTGTAAAAAATGTGTTTAATTTTCAGGAAATGACACAAGATGCATGTCTGACACTGAAGACTCTGGAGGCTGCTCTGTCTACAATGAGACCGGCATGTGTCAAAGTGAGCAAAAAACTGATAATCACAACCTGCGTACATTTGTAAATGAATGTTTTATAAAAGGAGGAGTGTGTTGATATGCATGTTTTGTCTATTATAGCAGCAGATGGTGGGTCCGCTGGTGGTGGAGGCAAAGGCAAGGCATTTCATTTTCTCTGTATAAATCCTCACATGTCTATGTTTTTGTCGTTTACTGAATTCTCTTTTTCATTCTCATTCATAACACACACAGATAGCGCGAGCCCTGAGTTCTCTCAAGCATCATTTGACCTGTCCAGCTTCATCGGGGGAATCATCCTGGTGTTGGTGTTGCAAGCTGGGGCTTTTTTTGCCATGCGGTTCCTCAAAACAAAAGACAGTACCTATGAAACTATGTGAGCAAAATGCATTTATTAAGTGAAATGTACTTAAATATTTAATGCAGTGCACATGCAGCGTGATTAACTTACTGTTTTCCCCTTCTCTTACAGTGATCCACCTCAGTGAGAAAAGGAGTCGTGAATGAGAGAGAAAATTACTAAACAAAACATAAAGAGAAGCAGATATTCAAAGTGATAGATGTTGCATTGGCGGGAAGTCTATAGACACTATTTTCTCTTTTTGATGGTCCTAAAACATTATTAACCTTTTAATTGCTTTGGTTAAATTATCACCAGTTCTTGAATGACAAAAACTATATTTGTGCGTGTGTATATAAGAGAGAAATATGCAAAGAAAACAATATAGACGTGATATGAGAAATACATTAGAGGATTATTCACATTTGAATTTAGGTTTATGACGGTCTTGTGATTTGAATCTCTTTGGTTTGGCTCCGTTTCTGTGTGTTACATTGATTTGAGAAATTGTTGAACTATTCTGTTTCATATTTTGGTTAATTGCATGCCCTTTTATTTGCTTTTTATTGAATGTTATGTTTTGTAGTTAGTTATGGACTGAGTTTGTTATTCCTTTATGAATAATGAAGCAATAAAGTAATTAGACTCTGGGATGTTTTACAGCTTTACTCCTATAGGTGTCAGTAGAATGCAGTTATTAACTGCACAAACACAAGATAATCGGGCAGATTTTGGACCCTATTCTCCCCTTCTGACAATCCTAAAGTCCTGATTATTTTGATGGTTCAAGAGATTATTTGATCAGATCTTCCTGTGGTGTGAGGTGTGTTAAGAGTGGCTGAATCTTCTCAGAAGAACGTCCCTCAAGCCCCTGTATGAGTTTCTTTCTTCTGTTGAACACAAAAGAAGATATTTTGAAGAATGTTGGTAATCAAACATTTGACGGTAGCCATTCAAAATATCTCCTTTTGTGTTCAACAGAAGAAAGAAACTCATAAAGGTTTGGAACAACATGAGGGTGAGTGAATGATGACAGGATTACTATCCCTTTAAGCTGCTCCTTGTTGACCTCCAATACCAAGGATATTAATGAGTCAGGAGGATGCATTATTAATAAAACACTTACAATAAATAACTTATCTTGTGTTTTTGACAATATCTGAAATGGTCCTTCAGCTATTTTCTCTTTAATCCACTTTCAACATGAATTTCCAGCCTATACCTCAATTTTACAACCCCCTCAAGTATAGTATTCGAGTAAAAAGTTTTTATACTTTTTTTTTCTGTAATGCCTGAAACATTCTTATATATGTGTATATATATATATATATATATATATATATATATATATATATATATATATATATATATATATATATATATATATATATATATATATATATATATATATATTTATGGTAAAAACTGTCTGCTGTGCTTTCTGGATAATTTACAGATAATTATATTTATATACAGTATATATATATATATATTTTATGTATTATATATATATATATATATATACTTTTCTGTATATTATCAATTTCCTTAAATTTAACAGGACGTGTTTACAGTGCACATGACAGTCTGAATTTCAAGTTTTCATCTTCTCACATTCTCTTGTGTTGGATTTACGCACACATTTTACACCCTACCACACACACACACACACACACATTCAATCCACACACTCTCGCATATTCTTGAAGTGGTTTCCTTACAGTGACTCAGGGTGCAGGATGGCCAAATGAATAAAGAAACGTTATCAGCATTATGATAACATCATTGTAAATTTCTCACCTATTACCACCCTTTGCTACTTATACCAACATTGGAAATAAGTTAAATAGCAAGATATGTGGGAGAGAGCATATGTGACTATTTCATTGCAATTAATATTGCATCAAGACAGGGTTATTATCAATGACTAAAACTAAAACATTTCTGTTAATTGAACTTAAGCTGAAATAAAATAAAATACAAATATTAGTTGAAAAACTTAGGAAATGATGCCTATAAATAAACTGAAATAAGTTGAAGTTGAAGCTCTAAAATTATTAACTGGAAATAAAACTAACTAATACTAAAACTGAAAAAACTAATTTAACCTAAATAGCAGTATAAAAAATAAAATAAATGGAAAGACAAAAGCACATAAAGGAATTACTAAAATTAAACAAAAATTAACATGAAAACTAAAAATATAAAAATAAGTTACAGTTAATTCAGAATTACTTCAAAATAGATGTAGGCTATGAAATAATACACGTTCATTGTGGAATGTTACCCAAGAGATACAGAAGGAGAGAAATAGAAAGAAAGTATTGAAAAATGCCATTGAGGTCTTGAGTCTGGCATATAGATATTAACCAACATGATCTCATGAAAGTGCGCATCTATAGCACGAATTTTAGGCTATTTCTCGTACCATTTATACGCCAAAAATAGTTTTTGCGTGCAAATGATACGCACTGAAAACCCCTTGGGTGTGGAGAGCGTGTGTATTACACGCCATAAAATGCGTATCATATGCACGCAAAAACTATTTTTGCCGTATAAATGGCACGAGAAATTAAATTCGTGCTATATACGCACTTTCATGAGAGCATCAGTTACAATCTTCTTTTATCCTTTCCTTGACCATGTGACTGAAACAACAAATATATGAGACATTCAAACGGACCAATCAGCAGATTAAAGCTTCCCCCACCATAGCATGCAGAAACCCCTCGATGTCTTGGTCTAGATCGCATCAGTGGCTGTATGAATGTACTCACATTTTCACATATAAGAGATATCTTACTGGTGTTTTTGTTAGATATTGGACGCAAGGCACTAGGTGTACGTTCTAGAAGCAGTGCTTGTAAGACATAAACTATGATATTTGAGAGTGCTTTCTTTGTTCTGAAAGTGTCAAAACCACAAAACTGTCCGTCTATCTATTTTTTCTCTATCTAAGCAGCGGTAGCATTTGACCGGTCACACTGACCTAGCCGTTACACCAATGCATGACATAATGGATAAGTCTATATTTGACCTTTTCTTATCTGGCATAAACACAGGTTTGTGAGGATGTAAGTTTCTCGCGTTATCTTCTTGCTCTCTGCTAAAGGGCCCTCTTGTTCTCTTCGCAAGATTATTATACTCAGATCTCTCAGACTCAAAGTCTGATTTTTTTTTTTTTTACTTATTTAATTTCAACATTGTACTCAATTATTAAAGTTTGATTATTATTTACTTGCTTGTTATTAATTTATTCCTTATTAAGGAAATAGAAACTATTTTTGGAGGTGTAAGACTCGTCTAGACGGATGCAGACGTCTGCTAATAACCGGCAAACACATTCTCTCTGACTATTGTCCTCTGCAATGATTCAACATCAAAATTACTCTATTAATCATGCCAAAATCCAACAAGGTTTAAAATAAATGACATTAAGCTGTATCAGTATAAGAAAACAAAAATAAATTCAGTTTATGATACATACTATCACATTTAAATGATGGCACTGATGCAGTGTAATCCAGGCAGATTTACAAGAATTACAAATTGCTTTGAATAGAAGTGTCTGCTGAATGCATTAAGGTAATTAAAGTACAATGGTTATAAGTGTGATAAGTATGATAACATAAAAACAAATTAGCATTAAAGTTGTAAAAGCAAAATTAAAATTAAATCACAGAACATAAATCAGATATATGATTTATGTTATATATGATTTATGTCCTCTAGTGCTTCACTTTCTGTAAAGCTGCTTTGAAACAATATGTATTGTGAAAAGCGCTATACAAATAAATTATGAATTGAATTGAATTGATTATTAAGTATTTAGTTCAACTAAGTATTTAACAGATGAAGCTGTAAGTTGTGACTGGAGAAGACGAGGATGTATAAGTATGGATGAAGACGGCGCTCTGAAGGAGAAAGATCTGCTAAAATGCATGAAAAAAACAAACATTTTATAGATCATGTCTATATGTGATAGGAAGGACCAAGAAATGATCCACTAAACTATCTTAAACGTCTCTTTGTCCATCATTAGTCACACAGACTACAAGCGATTGTGGTTTTAACACCACTTAAGTGGGCATGCAACAAAATGTCTGCAACAAAAACAGCTGTGAGCATCAACTTCCTCTCAAGGGATTTTAAAACATACAACCTTTCACAAGTTCACACTTACAAATAATCAGATAAAAGAGCTCTGAGCTCGAAACGTCTGTAATATCGCTGGCTGGCACTGAAACCATGCCGATAGTGAGTCGGGTGGCGGAGGGATGCAGAAAATTACAATACAAAGCCTGTAACTGATACGCAGCATATAGAGTTTGTAGCTAATGCTAATTTTCAACTACTGTCCCTGGTTGGGCATTTCTAAGAGGAGGAGAGTCGGCTATGTGTGTATAAATAACACATATATATAGGCCTCCTCTAGTGCTAAAATGATAGATCATTTGAATGTGTTCCTTACGAACTTTGTTAAAGGGATAGTTCACCCAAAAATTAAAATTCTGTAATTTTACTCATAGTTGTTCCAAACCTGTGAATTTCTTTCTTCTGCTGAACACAAAAGCAGATAAATATGGATAACCAAACAAAGTTTTACTTCCAAAGTATTTTTTTTTCCCTCCAATCTCTATACTATTGAAGTCAATGGGGTCCATCAACTGTTTGGTTACCGACATTCTTCAAAATATCTTCTTTTGTATTCAGCAGAAGAAAGAAATTCATACAGGTTTGAAACAACTTGAGGGTGAGTAAATTATGACAGAATTTTCATTTTTGGGTGAAAATTTTCACCCAAAAATGATAAACATTATATCATTCAAAAATGATAAACATTAAACAAACTTTTGATAAACATAATTTCTAGCTTGTAATACACATACCCTGGTGAACATAGAAGTATGGAGATGCATATGCAGCAGTTTCTCAGAAGGATAAACAAGCTTATTATTGAACAAAATATAATGATTAACTAATGATAATGTCTGTAAAATAATACAGAAGATATAAGGAACATAGTGAATATACACTCACCTAAAGGATTATTAGGAACACCTGTTCAATTTCTCATTAATGCAATTATCTAATCAACCAATCACATGGCAGTTGCTTCAATGCATTTAGGGGTGTGGTTCTGGTCAAGACAATCTCCTGAACTCCAAACTGAATGTCAGAATGGGAAAGAAAGGTGATTTAAGCAATTTTGAGCGTGGCATGGTTGTTGGTGCCAGACGGGCCGGTCTGAGTATTTCACAATCTGCTCAGTTACTGGGATTTTCACGCACAACCATTTCTAGGGTTTACAAAGAATGGTGTGAAAAGGGAAAAACATCCAGTATGCGGCAGTCCTGTGGGCGAAAATGCCTTGTTGATGCTAGAGGTCAGAGGAGAATGGGCCGACTGATTCAA